CTCCCGAACCTCCTCGTGCTTCTCTTTCCATTGCCAAATTGTGTCTACGTGCTTCGGCGTTTGCAGCGGCTTCAGCTTTCTTATCGTTGACAGCTTTGGCTATCCCAGCAGCTCCACCAGCAGTTGCACCAGCTGCAGCTAAACCAGCAAAGATTAAAGGTAAGAAAGGTAAAAATCCACCTTTTTTAGTTAAATTCTCATCAATTCTTTCCAAGTCTATATCGTCTCTGACTTTGCAATGTTTGTATTTATCGATAATCTTTTGGGTTATATGCACTTTTTTACCGTTGTAAGTTATTAGAGTCGGTGAATTCGTTTCCATAGCTTCTATTATTTTCATAACTAAAGTTTCTGGTTTCATCTTTAAAGGGTGTTTTTTTATTCAATTCTTATCGTTCTTCTATCTGATATTTTAATCAAATGTTTTGCTTCTTCCAGCAATAAACAGTAGCCGGTCACATTGAAAAGATCTTCTTGATGAGCTGACAGATCGAAACAAAAGATTGGATGATTGAGTGAAAAATCTGTGTATTCAAACTGAGGCGTATTTCCAAACAATTCGCACATGTTTTTATAGTTTCTGTACAATTCGTTGTAATCTTTTTTGGAAGGATCAATTGGTTGATTGGGATAATTATCGTTGTTCAATCTGACTTGAATTTTGCGAATGATGGGATCTTGAGTATGGTTCAATGACACTCTGAAAATGTTGTTGTTTGTCTGAGAGTCTGGCAAGTTTTTGAAACCGACCATTAGATATCTCGCTGGTTTGACGGTGTTGGTAATTGGCCACGTGGTGGATTCTCCCGTTAAAGTCATGCTACCTACCGTGTTACGACGAAGAAAAGCAATTTCGATGTCTTTGGTTAAAGAGTTGAATTTTCTTGTTTCCACTTCTACGGAAGGAGTGATTACCGGTATGTGAAGTTGGATATTCGTTATTTCCAATTTTGCGTCAGAGTTGTTTTCACCAAAGAATATCTTGTTGTCGTTGATTTCACTTTGCAAATGAATTTTATACGGTAAACCTATGGAAACCTTTCTGTGTTCCAAGAGACCAAGTAAAGGATACAACTTCCAATTTACGTAATTACCCCATCTGTTGTTCTCGACAACGTTGTTGATTTACTCCGCGAGTCACTCTTTCCAGTGTGTTTCTAGCAACTACCCTTATCCTAGCAAGGTCTGCGTCATTTGCTACAGTTCTAACCGGTTCTTTTAAAACTTCTCCGTCACCGACATCGGGAATCCATCCCGAAACTGAATCGTAGTTTTTGGGATAGAGAACCGTTTTCAACATTGTGTCAAACTTGCCGGGGTGTTTTATGGTCTCTATCGGATTTGAACCCGCTTCCAAAACCATTTCGCTGAATAAAGACGGAAAGAAGTTGTTTTCTAAAGTCGTGTTGGTTTGTGGAATTCGATTCTGAGCGGCGTTTTTGATTTTGAAATCGCATCAGGAATGGACATCGGAAAGCAGCAACCAATTGGACAACGAATTAATTTCAAAGGTAACTCTTCCTCCGTCGTTTATTTGGGTCTTTGTCCCTACCGATGGTGAGATGATTACGTAATCCTCTTTCTTTTTGTTGAACGAATATTGAATCGGATCATATAATTGAAAGATTGGATCCAATCTGTAATTTTTGCTTGCCATTTTTATCCAATGATTTTAAACCCTTTTCCTTGTTTTTCTAGGGCTTGTCGTTCTAGTCTCTTGTTTCTTAGTTCTCTTATTAGCTGCAGTTCTTTAAGTTCGTCAGATTTTTTCACTGCATCGCTTATATTTACTCCTGCTTTTGCCACAGATCCAAGAGCTTACGCTTCTGAGGAAATGAGGGATTTGTTGTTTGATACAAAATTGGCCACTTTGGGGATGAGAGCTGTTAGCGCAGAGAAGAAACCGTCTCCTTCGAATTTTTTTGTTCGTGTTTTAAAATTAAAGACATTTTTAATGCGGTTATTTTTTACTGTATTATTATTAGTGATTTTTGTCTGTGTAATTAATATGGAGTCTGTTATAATACAGTTTGGGGAGTCTGTTATAATACATTTTAACAGTTGTGTCTTTTCGGATATGATGCATTGAAAAAGCTGCGCATGCGCAGAAGTGAAATGCGTCATATCCGAAAAGACATATACTACTGCATTGAAATCAAGAAGTCTCATATTTTGTTTGTGATTTCAATGCTCGATTATCTTTCCATCTATTTCAATTTGACCATTAAATGTTGAAAATTTATCAGCTGATAAGATTGGTAAATGGCACGTTTTCTATGAATGTTCATCGTCTATAATTTCAATGTTATTCATATTTTTTATATGTTTCTTTCATTATCTATTTTTTAACTTTTATTGCTGATATTTCCGTATCAAATTTATCTAAAATTTCATTGAATTCTTCTAATTCTTCAATGGTTATGTTCTTATCTTCTCATGATCTTTCGAAAAATATAAATAATTTATTAAGATATGTATTTAAAATTTCTCTATTCGTTTTTATAATAAGATTGCTGTTTGGATGTATAACCTATAGCAATCAAGCCACAAGATGAAGTTCGAATAGCAGTTATTGTGGCTAATACAGTTGGGACAAGTACTGGAACCATTAATCCACCAGTTATGGCTATTGCAAGTGTTGTTCCTACTGTTAGAACTACAATCAGTGCTTTGAAAACAGAATCAATTCTACTCCATCTTCTCTGACATTTAATATACGGTTTTAATTTTACTGAAAATTTTGTTTTCTCAATGGAGATTTTAATGTAAAACTGGCATACATATACATTATCATCTTTTATTACTGGTATTAAAAAGTTTCTATGAAATTGAGTTTTATGAACATCAACAGGTGAAAAGATTATTATTAACAAAATATAGTTTTACATATTCAAAGTCTGTTGATGTTCGTAAATACTCATAAAACTGTGTTTCTTCATCTTGTGGTTCGTGATTTCTAATGATGTTCGCTGATGGTTGAGTTTCCGTCTCCAATATCATATCAAAATCACTCAATCCAAGAATATCATTTTGTCATCTGGTATGATTGACATTCTAAAAGCATCTATATAGTCTCCATTTGTATTAAATTCATACAAGTGACCAAGCTTGCCGTTTTTGTCGTTGCTTGGTAATTCTTGACCTTCTTGGATTTTATTTTTGTTGATAAATTGAAAAACTTTACGAGTGTTAAAAAACTCACTATATGATTTTTGTTTGAAGAATATTAAATCGATCTTTACTTTCATGGGAAAAATAATTTCAATTAGAGTTCTGCCTCGGAAAAAAGTGATTGTGTACCAAATATGCCTGAAGGATATCCGCCTGGCTCAGAAGATAGTTTTATTATTGCTGTAAATCCATATTTTTTAAAGTCATAAGTGTTGTAATCTATTCCGAATTTATTTCCAGCAAATGGAAGACTAGAATAATATGATTGACTTTTTCCTTGTGATGGTTTTCTAATGTGGTTATATTTTTTTCCTGTTTCAAAACTTCATTATTAATAATAGCTATCTGTTTTAAAGAAACAACAGTTTTTATGGATATAGAATTCTATTTATTATTGAACACAACAATCATTCATCTGTCCCATTTATGGTTAGATGAATCAGTGTATGCTTTGCATTTATAATTTTTGAGTTCATGTATTCTAACTGTTATTTGTTATAATAAATAGTTTTTGTTGTATCTTTTGAGTTGTTAAGTTTTTAGCTGGTATATATAATTTTCTGATCTGTATGGTTAATAATCACTTAATAACGCTACCTGTATGTGTAATCAAACGTTGTGTTCAATAATAAATAGAAGTCTTAAAACCGTTGTTTCTTAATGTGCTGTGATACTTCTAAATGTCTTACAAGGATTAGTTAAATGTTGTTGAATCTCACTATCATCAATATTTTGTATCTGTTGTTGAATATAAGCTTTAATTTCACTATCATCAATATTTTGAATTTGCTGTTTAATATTTGTTAGTTCTTTTTGTAATTCAGTTCCTAATTTAGTTAATTCACGTTGCAATTTGTCTTCACTTATACCTGAATTAATATTATCTATGAGTTGTTAAAGATCTATTTTTTGCTTTGTAATCTAAATTAGATATTAATGAACTTAAATTTTGTACCTGAGTTTTATCCACTACATTGACTAGAATAGCGACTATTTGTTGTTGTATGTCACTATCATCACTAAGTTTAGTTTCTAATGCGGTTAATTTGTCTTCACTTGGATTAATATTGGCTATTAGTTGTTTAAGATCTATTTTTTGCTTTGTAATCTTATCATCTAAATTAGATATTAATGAACTTTAAGTTTGTAACTGAGTTTTATCTACTATACATTGACTAATTGTTGTTGAATAAAAAATTTTAAACTTCTTACTACTTGTTGTAATTTGATATATATGATCTAATTCTTTCAGTTTACTTTCATCAATAAAATTTGTATTATTTTTTTGTCGTTTGAAGAATCTTTTCACATCATTTATTCTTTCTTTTAAATAGTCTTTATCTACTTCAATTAAATGTAATTGATCCATTAAATATTTCTGGTGAACAGCATCATTATCATATTCTGGTAACTAAATTAGTTATGGCAAAATTATGCATGTCAATATCACCTGGTAAGGAATCTACAATTTGATCTACAAAGTAAGGTTTTGCTTTATTTATCCATGATGTAGTGTTGGGGTTTTTAGTTTCTAAAGGTAAAGAAATCCAAACTTGTTTGACATTTTCATCAAGTATAATGTCTTCAAACTGGTTTCCTAAACTTAACTGATATAAAACCCAAAGTGAAAGTTGCCCACAAAACTTTTGACCCGGTATTTGTATTTGGAATGTAGAACATTTAATTGGTTGATTAGTTAGATTCATTATCTCTTCAGTGGGTTCTAATCCAAAAGAATAAAAAAAAGTTATTTAAAGAGACTTTGTATAAAGCAGAGTGATGAACTCCGGTTGGTTTGATCTGAAGTATGAATATTTGTTAGAGCATAAAATTTGCCTTTTTTATTCTTGAAATTATTTATTTCATATCTTATACAATAAAGACTATAACTACTTTTGTGATATGGTTTTTAACGTCTTGTTTTGTTGTCACTATGTGACTCCTTTCTGTGATATTGATAGTTGTTATACTGTTTTAGTTTTTATTATTCTATCGTATTCTGGAGCTATATAGCCGGTTAGGTGCTGATGCTCTCTAATGCATTTCATTTCATTAAGTTTTACGTAAATATCTAATTAATAACGCTCTCTGGAGATGTTTACCAGCTAAAATAACTAATACAAACAACAGAGCTGAAAATATCCATAAGAGATTAGTCCTAATCCACCATAGTTCTAATCATACTCAATCATTCTTGGAGTTAATTGTGTGAGGTTGGTTGGAATTGTCGGTTTTGTAGGTTCAATAGTCATTTAGGTAGGGTTAATGTTGAGATTGAAGTGGATGGTTGGGTTAGGTAGGCGCCAATTTCTCTTTTCGCTTCGTCTTGTATCTCCGGTTCAAGTTCCTGCAGACACTAACAAGCTTCATGCCATTTAGCCTCTCCCAGGAGACTGGCCCTCCTCCTATTGTGCCAACGGGAGAAATGAAGTTGCTTTGTGTCGCTCTCGTCTTGGACATACTCATACTCGATCGGTTCACGGCTAAGTATCCACTGCGAAGAAAAAATGATTTAAAGTTCAAGGGAGGTAACTGATGATATTATATACTGTTAACAATTAAAGGGAGGGAACTGATCACAAAGTTACAAGGCCCAAAACAATAAGGACATGACATTAAATGAGAAAGCATGTCGAAATAAAAAGTGGAAGTGTCAAAAAGAGTAAGGCTTTGGGCCTGGCTTTCTGAGTTATTGCCATTTGTACAAACTTGTCAAATTCGGCTCGCAGACGCGATAAAGACTGCAGTTTTTATCTAATTTTGATGAAACTGGATATGCATGTATATTTAAATGATCAAGTTAGAAATTGGTAATAATCTGATGAACAGTTTCAGAGTTACTGCCCTTGTGTGTACAGCGATGAGACATTGCTCATGTTTGAATTTGATGATAATTTGATGAACTGTTTCAGGATTTTGCCTTGACTTATAGATGACTTTAAGATTATTTGATAATTTATTGTTAGGCCACAAAAGATTTTCTTATCATTTGTCTGGCAAGCTATCTTTATTTTTCGTTATGGATTCGTTTGATTCTTATATACCCACACGCAGTATGGTCTGTTTACACTTGGGGAGTGCTCACAGGCTTCCATTTGATGGATTCATTTGATTTGCAATTTGTACTGCTATATAGTACAACTTATGCACACTCTACGGGGCAACAATTTCATTCTATTTGCTACATAGTGAAATTTTTGCTCACTCTTCAGGTAATTCTTTATTGATTCTTTTGATTTTTATATGCCCACACGTAGTATGGCAGCATATTGTCATCTGTCCGTCGATAAAACCCGGCAATGATACAACCAAGTTGCTTGAAATAGTCTATAGACTAAACACGAACCAAATGTGAATGGATAACAAACTATGATGTGCACTATCTTTAGTTTTGTAAATCCATATTAAGTTTTATCGAAAGCCAAGGTCCTAAACTATACAAAATCATACTAAGTTTCGTAAAAATTAAATTTAATTACGTGACTGGTGCAGTAAACGTGCAGATTTCTTTCATTCAAATTCAAATATACAACCATGCCATGTCTAGTCAAAATACTCTACATAAAGATTGAAGTCTATGTTGTGTTTATATGACTATTCATTTGCGACCTATCACAACTGTTGCTTCTTCGCGTTCTCACACTAATTTTGATGAATTATTTTTTTCGAAGGCTAGAGCAATACGTGAAACAAAGCTCGCCGAAAATTTATTAAAATCTAACTCCCACCACAAATATTCGACAAACATGTTGCAATCACAAGGCACAGGTATTTTGATATCTTGAAGAAAATCTAGTCTTCAATTGACACCTGCGAATGTGAATTACGAAATAATTCAGCATACCCCGGCCATATCAACCCTGGCGTGAAACAGGTAAACATAAAATTACAATACCGTGCACCGTCAATGTTGTTCAGTGTACTTACACAATAAGGTTCTGTATCTGTAGTAATGATACAATATTCCCCTCTCAAGCTATTTCTAGCTTGAAATCCCATTTAGATGAAAACATATCATCGGACGTGCATCTTATTGCATTATACTGACATTTTCTGATGGAGTTGGTAAAATACTCTGTTGCTCTCATATAACTACAGGCCAATATCGATCCCAATGCTACAAATTATACAATACATACAATAATACAATATTACATAGAAGATAACTTCCGTTGGAAATCTGTTAAAAGAGCATGCTAATGCGGCTGTGCTGGACTTGCACCTTGCATAACGTTGCAAGTCTTCATAAATCCACATGGTGCAGAAAAGTAGGACGTAAAACTCCAGTTATTTCACATTGTAGTAGCTTAAACGAAACAGCAAAATCGGGTACTGATTCTTGTTTTTTTCTTGATAACAACACTGATCTGCTCAAGCGAGAGCCTCAACCTGCCTATGATCACTGCCAGGTACGCCCGACAGTGACACACATTCTGATTGAGTGCATGAATCTCTACCTTTGTGCTGGATCATTGTTTCAGATATTTATAACCTTCTCTTTATTATGTCATAATATTGTTTTAACTAAGTCATTGTATGTCTGAAACATTTATGTATTAATCAATTTTTCGTATATTGTTGTTTTAATGCAACATTGTGTTGCCCCTTATCGCATTTCATTGCATTTCGGGTTTGCGGTTCGGATCATTAGTTCTTGGTTAATTTATTATTTTTTATGGTAATGTGGGGAGATATAATACCATACCATTGTATATGATTACCGAATCTAACCTTATGATTGAACACATTTAAGCCTTCAAAGGGCCATTCTCTTACTAACATTGGAAATGAAATAAAATGAATGGAGTTTTACGTCCTACTTTCTGCACCATGTGGGCTAATGAAGACGGGCAACGCCATGCAGGGTGCAATGAGTGAAATTTTGCCAGGACAACGGCATTAGCCTGCTCTTTTTCGACTTCCAACTGTCGAGGGATCTTTAACGTGCACAGCCTGTAGCACACGGGGCCTCGGTTTATTGTCCCATCCGAACGACTAGATAAATAATAAATAAAATACACCAGGCAACCAAAACCCGAAATTTAAACAACATATTGACGAAACATTAGTAGCAGCTAATGAACTTTTCATAGGAAATATATGAATTTTAAATAATAATGCTGCAAGTTTCTTATATATTTATTGTCAAGCTGAATGGCGAGGAAGTTGGGGATAATACATACATGCTGAGAGATCGAAGCTGAACAGGTTCGGACAACCAGGTTGTCTTTGACCACCATTTCATAAAAATCCGCATGCCTATCATTCTGTTGACTAAGAATCCAAAAGCTGAAAACAAACCAAATACAGTGTAGTTACTTCAAAGCTTCAGAAACAGTAAGTATAGTGGGTATATTGCTATTGCCGAAAGGGCAAGACAGTTCAGGTGTAAAGTTCGGAACGACGGACAAAAATGAAATATAAGGGTAAAAAGAAACCATCCACATGCTAACTTTACTTTACTTTACTGACCTACTTGAAAGACAGTGCCATCATTTGTATGAATCAAATCAACGAAGCCAGCATTACTGTTAGAAAGTCTTTCTGAGCAAAACTAAAACCAGCGGGATCCTGTGATCCTCCCCACCTTCTCGTTTGCTGCTTCGATAACACCTTTACCAGTAAATCCTGCAGCATGAGCTCCACGACTATGACCAATTACGTGGAACTTATTGTAGGCAACCCACTCATTCTGATTGATCTTAACAATCAAGGCACTGGATTCCTGACCTACGAATTTTGTATTTTCAGCAGATTGGTGATAAACTTCGTGTGCTCCAGGTTGTCAGTTGACTATTATTACATTTAATGATCCAGGCTAAAATATGAACAAGGAAAACTGAATAAACATTCGAATACATTTCAATCTAATGGTATCCACCGCCTCATAAATGATTTTGGGAATGATGAGGATATATGATTATAGGTTAATCAAAAGTGACCTGAAATATACATTCTTTTCAGTTTCCCCGCTCTTACTCGAAGTCAACAAAATAAACCTACCAATTTTAATAGTTCATTTTTCATAGTTTTTATCCAGTCGTTAAATCCATTATCTAGGAATCCATGAATCAATAAAAACGTATCCGCACCAGAGACAAATCGGCTGCCCAAATTTGTTACTTAACTTCGCTGAGGTGATACTATATTGTTTTTGACGAAATCTAAATGAAAATATTCACATACAAATAAAGTAATTGCAATGACAATTTCTTCTAGAATAGCCCAGGCTTCAGATAAATATAAGCAAACATAATAACAGTCACTATGATAGCGCTAGTTCATAACGACTAGACAATAATCATGATAGCTATGAAAATACTACAGCGATAATCAAAACAGAATAATGATAGTCACGATATGATAACAATTCAGTAACCCAAAATCTAGTCCAAGGCATGGTAAAGTCGGGAATAAATAATAGTATAGAAGTGGACATCGTTCCGAAGGCTCACAAAGATGGGCAATATGGTTCACAAAGGATAAGCTATATGATAGTGATGTTCCATAAAAGATAAAGAGTATGATATCCGTGAAGGATAAACTATATGATAGCGATGGTCAACAAAGGATTAGCCATATGATGAGGATGTATAAAAGGGAAAAACAATATGGTGGCGATGGCCAAGTGATAGCGTCGGTTCCGTTAAGAAATTTGGCAACTCCATAATGTGGTCCATTAGGGTAAAGCAATGTAATAACTGAG